TCAGCATTTCCATGCCGACAGCATTCCCGATTCTTGAGGAAAATGGCGTTCTGTACAGGTTCTCCTGAGCCCAAAGCCTCGCCAACGATGGCCGCAGCTACCAATTTTTCAGTATGACGAGATGTAACTTAGTGATGTGTCGATTGCACTTATCCGCACTGTGATTCAGTTGTGCCAAAAGCCCGTAGGCTAGAGTTGAGTTGAAGATTTGTGGTTTGTCCTCATATGATCTATTCAGCGGTTTTCTTGTGGTACTACTGAAATAGATGTCTATGCTAACCTCGATGAGATGTAGAGTAAAACTGGATTTGGCAGAATTCCTTAATGATATATTTTGACATGATGATAGTACAGACGAAAGCTTAGCACAGGTTCTTAGGGGTCGCAGGACGATGAGCCAAGAACTTCTTCAAGCTCATATGGAGGTAATCCTTCTTCGGTCTCCGCCGGGGCCATTTCACGAACTCCTTCCAACCAGCTTTTGCTTCGAAATGGAAATTCATGTCACAAAGTGTAAAAAAGTCTACTTTTGCGTTGGGACTCCCTGCCCACTGCACTATTGGCAATAGAAAAAGACCATTTTTACTTCACCTCAGCGAGACCAAAGTCGTGGAAATATATTGCATTCCAGACCATCCATACTCGGCCTCTTTGAAAGGCCTGATTTGTACAGTAACCGAGCTGGGGTGGTTCGGCCCGAGCTGGCTCATTGGCGGTTCGAGTCCCACTGGCACTGCCGGGAAGGCATCAAAGCTGCGGTCGCCCACGTGCGTCGCCCGGGAAATGGTGGAATGGCTTTCGGTTTCGGTAACACTGCCATCGAATGGATCGTATAAAAAAGGATTTTTAGCTCATTTATGTTTCTAGTGGAAATAAGTGATGAGAAGATTGAAAGGTTTCTATTGAAACTTCCTGGTTGGTGTGATCTTCAAGTATGGGGTCCTACCAAAAACTGATTTAAGCCAATAGGGTTAAATAAACCCACGGAGTGGGTTTGGGAGTCACGGAATGATATTGTTAGTTAATATCGCATCCCGTTCTATAATCATGTGCCTGTGTGCGTTTGTGCGTACGTAAATGCTCGAAGACAGCAGTGATAGCTCTACGTAATTAGGAAAAAGGCTGAAATGTAGCCTATTTCATCAACCATAACTCAGACTACAGGATTCTATATGAGGACGAGCTCGTGTGTGTGATTGCAATAGCATCATGACCATTGTAGATACCAGGAAAAACTGGGTTTCGATGAATCTCCTGAGATAACATTGTTAGAGGGACCTTTATTTTGTATGAAAGTGCATGAAGAAGAGATTCGTTGGTCGATCTCACCAGATGAGGACCGATGAAACTCGTTGTTCTGCAGCCGGCATCATGACCAGAAAAGGATGAATATTGGACTAGCCGTTATTGCACAAATGGATTGTGTGACTCGACTTTACGTTTCAAAAGAAAAAGAGGTTGAAAGGAATTGATGAATTGGCCACACCGGAGACAGGAGGATTGGCAAGCAGGCGAGATTGTTGGATTGTGTATGCGAAGAAAAGTTAAGTTTTGAGCATGTTCTTAGCCAAAAATTTTTCAGCTTATTTCCATTTCGAATGAAGGTGTTTGGTGAAAATATTCGAGGCTCGAACCCACCAGAAGACGACAACGGATTCTGTTTGACCAGCTGTCGATTGGCTTTACTGCAACCTTCTTGGTAAAGCCGTTTCTTTAGGCGATCTCCTTCGATTCCGGTAACACGTACTGAGCATTCTTCCGTCGTATGACGGACATCATCAGAACAGGGTATCCTCCCTACAACCATATTCAAACTTCACTTTTCTTGATTCATTAGCTCAAATATGGCCGTTACGATGATACCCTGTTCTGAAGATGTCCGTCATACGACAGACGAAAGTTTAACACCTTTTCGTCGGAATCGAAAGAGCTTTGAAGAGATGCTGGCTCTGACGATGTCCTTCACATGACGGGCAAAAGACCAGCGCTTATTCATCGGAGTCTTAAGATGGTGAAGAAAAGTTGTGTTTCGAACTGTCCTAATTACTTTGATTGTTGAGCTTACTTCCATTTCGAGTAGAAGTGTTGGGTGAAGAGATTCGAAGGTCGGTTCCACCAGAA